CTGCGGTGCAGTAGCCCGGCGGGGAGGGAAGGCAGGGGCTGCGGTTTCGGCTCTGCGCGGGCTGGACTGGGTCTGGAGGACCGGTCTAGTCTGATCCGGACTCCGGCACCCCTCACCGCGGCGGAGCGAGGGAGGAGGGAAAGGGCCGGGAGGTTGGTGAGTGTGCGCGCGTGTGTGTGCGCTGCGCGTGTGTGCGTGTGCGCGTGTCTACAGGTAGCAGCGGCGGCGGCGGGGACCCGCGCAGGGGACGCTTCGGCAGCCACCTCCCGCCTGTGATTTTCGGAGGCGGTTGCTCACTTAGCTGAAGGATCTGTAGCCTCAGGAGATCTTCTGCTCCTCTCCATTTCCACGCTGTTTAGGCATCGTCCAGTTTCAAGTGTGTGTTTGGGGTATTTTTTTTTCTTTTAATTTTTTTCTTCTCGCACCATATCTTCTCGGGAATACTGCATATCGAAGCAGGTGGTACGAAATCTGTGGATACATTTTATTAGCCAAGTTTTACTCTTCCCTGTCCCCTCCCTCTTTGAGAGGCATCCGCGGGGCTTTTCTTTTGGATTTACATGCAGAAAACGTATCTATGTTTATATGCCGACCGGATAATTTATAAGTACGTACATATACGCGTACCCAAGCGCCTGGCTTTCGTCTCTTTTCTGACCAGGAGAAATGCTTTGGAGCCGATGGATAATGAGCACAATATTAACATTCTTTTAAGGCTGTTTTTTAAAAAGGGGAGGGGGCGTGAAGAATTGTTTAACATTCGGCCACCGTTTGGCTGCACACTAAGCACCACGAAGTATTTATGGTCGCAGATCAGGTGCAAGCGGGGCTTAGAGAGAAAGGTAAGGGAGCCTCCTGCGTCCATCCGTCCTGACGTTTATCTTAATCCCTGGGGTTACTGAGAACTTCCTTCCGACTCTCTGTCTGTCTCTCGCCTTCCCCACCGTCCAACACCCCTGACCCGCTGTCTCGCTGGGTTCACTTAACCTTTGTCCAATTCCTGCGGGCCAGGGGTGGTTGTGGTGGGGGTGTGATGGCGATAGTGCTGAAGGTGGGACCCTCTGCTGAGTTTAAAGGCGCCTCTTTTTTCCCAACTGAGTAACTGAGTTATCCAGGCCCCCTTTTTTAGCAGTTTTAAGAAATGTTATTTTGGCCTTAAAAAAAAAAAACCCGTTACGTAGATAACTGCTTTAACCATGTATTGGTGCTAACTCCTCACCGGTATCTTCTGAAAAAATAAAAGCAATAAAAATAATGAACTTTAATGAGCTGGGTGGTTTCTTGAGTACCGAGGGAAATGGAACCTCCCAAATGTTTCTTTTCATTAAAAAAACAAAAAACAAACAAAAAAACCCTGGAAAAAACAAACCAATACCACAGGAGGAGACCACAGTGAAGGAAATTCGGCTTCCGTTTCTGCATAAAGCAATTCATTTCACTTGGAGGGTAATTCACCAGAGTTGAGAGAGATGAAGCTAAGTCTCGTGTAGGAGAACCTACAGCGCTTAATTCCTGCTCAAACGCATCCTTTTCCTCCACGACAGGTCCTTGTTTAACTCCCCATCCACGGGCACATTTTTGACCTGATCTCTTCCGAGAGAGGTGCGATCTTCCCCTCGGGTTTCCTTCTCTGTCCCCAGCCTCCCCTCCTCGCTGGGCTCCTCCAGCCCTGGCAGTTTGTAAATTGCCCGTTGTGCCACCCCTCCCGGTAGGCGTTCTCTCCGCTCTCCACTCCTGCCCCCGCTGTCCTTTCTTCATTGGCGCTTTTGGAGCAGATGCATCTCTTTTCCTTGGGCTCCCTCTCTCGCGCCCTCCCCTTCCCACACGCCCCGCGGCTCCCCACCTGCCCTGCTCCCCTGGCTGCGGCCCCCACCTCAATTTCCGTCCCAGCCTGCGAGCCGGCG